CACAGCCATTCCTGTGCTGGCTGGGGAATTCTGGGAGTTGAAGTCCACGCATCTTAACGTCCCCACGGTTGAGAAACATTGTTCTATGACCTCTCTGGGCTTGTACAGAATCGCAGCAAGCCAAGGATGCTCGTTCACTGGAAACCGGTCTGTTTACAAGCAATACGTGCATCTTGACATCCGGAATTGGCAGCATGGCCTTTCCTCATCCATACGCGGCTATAACAGCCGAGCCGGGACCTCTGGAGGGAGACGAGGTCCCGTCCTTGTGTCTGCTGGCTCTCTTCCTCCCTCCTTCCCAGCATCCCCCCCTCTGGCCTCCGACAGATGTTCTCGGCATCTGCAGGTCCAACCTCTCTCCGGCTGCTTGGTTACAGCAGTTCCTGCTCGGGGAACAAAGCCCCGAAAGTCATCAGGTTAGACTTTGGCCCCAAGGCGAGAGGAGGCTTCAGCAAAAGGACAGACCGGTTAAGAAAAACGAAACATCCAGGAGGGAGATGAATAAGAGATGAGCAGCTATCCTCCAACTTATTTAGATCAGTTAAGCGGGCCCTCTTTAAAATGTCAGAGCCCCGGTACGCTTCTAAGAAAATAGCCAATAAACCAGGGAGCAGTGGTGTCTGTAGCAAGGGGGGTCAAAAAGGTCAAGATGGCGGCCACCCCATGCCATCAAACTTGCGGACACCCCTGCCAGAAATAACTCTTTTTTTCCCCCCGGACCTTACCATAATCAGCAGCAAAGGCAAGTCCTCAGAGGGATGGTTTGCTATGAGGAAATTAAAAGCAATAAATAAAAGCTATCAGAATGTTGATAAAGGATGCATTTTTCTCAAGAAGCGAGACAAAGGCAAATACAAAATCTGTGTGCTGACAGATTCACTTGGATTCCTACCTACTTTTTAAAAAATGTCTTTCCTTTTATTTTATGTAACGTGATGGCTGAGAAGCAGAAAGAACATTTTATTCTGGGCAGGAGAGATGTACAGGAAATGGATCTTGAAAAGTTCCCATTTCTCATTACGATCACATGGGACGCATTCATATATAAGTCAGTGTCCCTTTTTCTTTCTTTCTTTCTTTCTTTCTTTCTTTCTTTCTTTCTTTCTTTCTTTCTTTCTTTCTTTCTTTCTTTCAGGTTTCTGTACTTATTCTTGGTTTATTTTCCTTCTTACCTCTCTCTCGTTCGTGTTTGTCCTGATGTTGTGTTTCTGCAAGAACAACGGGAATCTCCAGATCAAAACCCAGAAACGGCCCCACAACGAACTGGAAAAGGCAGAGATGCACTCTTTAGAAAAACAGCCCTTCACGAAACCACGGGGAGCACCGATAATCCGGTTATTCTCTGCAACACCAACAGGAAGATACTTTTGACAGCCTTTGGCAGGCAGCCAGCACAACTGTTGCCCCCAGAATGACGACGGGGTCCCAGGTCTAACTTCTACCTGCTTCGCAAAGGGGTTTAACCGTGAGCCTTCCTGTCCCCTTACCCCACCTTCTGTTCCTTAGGGCTACCTGGCAGAAACGCAGGGGGAGTCGGGGAAGAAGGCAGGCCGGGGGGCACAGGGGCAGACCCCACCCTGGAGTCGGCACAGCCATTAACTTCTACCCCGGCTCGGGGGCTGCTGAAAGGGGTCCGATGCTCTCCGGACAGGCCACCAGCCATCGGCCCAGGGGGCCAGAGCAGAGCAACCAGCAAGGCCCGGCCTGGCACGCCAGACCGCCCCACTGCCCCATCTGCCCACGTCGTGGGATCGCTGAGCTAACAACCCCT